GGTGTCGTCCAGTGGACAAGGATAATGAAATTCAAATGAATAACATATTGAGTGCTTTGGTAGTATTAAAATTTTTGCATTTTATCTTACTTAAAGGAGTGTTCAGTGGGTAGTGTGCCGGCTGTCCTTACTATCCCATCCTATGAAAAACAAATCATTATATGATTTTAAAAATTTAGTTCTACATAATTTATTTTAATTAAATTAAATTTTCAATTAATTAAATAAAACAATAAATAATTAAAAAATTATTTTAAAAATTTAGTTCTACATAATTTATTTCAATTAAATTAAATTTGTATATAAGATTTAATAATTAAGACAATAAATAATTAAAAAATTATTTTAAAAATTTAGTTCTACATAATTTATTTTAATTAAATTAAATTTTCAATTAATTAAATAAGACAATAAATAATTAAAAAAATTATTTTAAAAATTTAGTTCTACATAATTTATTTCAATTAAATTAAATTTGTATATAAGATTTAATAATTAAGACAATATATAATTAAAAAAAATTATTTTAAAAATTTAGTTCTACATAATTTATTTCAATTAAATTAAATTTGTATATAAGATTTAATAATTAAGACAATACATAATTAAAAAAAATTATTTTAAAAATTTAGTTCTACATAATTCATTTCAATTAAAATCAATGTATATATTAAATTTAGTCATTAAAACAATAAATAATTAAAAAATTATTTAGAAAATTTGTTATTACATAATTTGTTTAAATTAAATTAAATTTTTATATAAAATTTAATCATTAAAACAATAAATAATTGAAAAATTATTTAGAAAATTTGTTATTACATAATTTGTTTAAATTAAATTAAATTTTTATATAAAATTTAGTCATTAAAACAATAAATAATTGAACATGTATTTAGAAAATTTGTTTCTACATAATTAATTTAAATTAAATTAAATTTTTATGTAAAATTTAATCATTAAAACAATAAAAAATTAATAATTAAAAAATTAATTCAAAAAAAACCTTTTTTCCAGGTGAAATTAATCCCAATCCTAATCTTAATGTTTGTTTAATTAAACTTACAATTATAACCTTCTTCGTACAATTAACTCTATATATATAAAGTAACGTAATCGTATAACTTCCTGATGGAGTATACAATATATTTAATTTAAGAGAGTGCAATTATTAATTATTGTTCAAATCCACAAAATCAACCAATTTTAGTCTGACTTTTGAACACTCCTAAGTCTCAAGTTTTTGTTTATATCCTCATTTCTGATATACTATGGAACTTTTAGCATAAGTCTTAATGCAATATTAATATTATTATTTTAATAATAAAAATGGAATTTTTCTGAAGACTTGAACCCTCCACCCTGTGGAATTTTAAAGAATAAATAAATCTACCGCAAATATTTATCATTTAATTCTAATTTAAAAATGCGAAAGGTCCAGCTATAAACCTATTAAATTCAAAAATTATTATTAATAATTGTACAATAATTTTTATTAGAGAATATAGAAGCAACCATTCATCAATATCCATTCACATTCAATATCCTTTTTATTAAAAAACTGATTGGAATGATTTCAGAAGCTCTCATCCTTGGCACACGTGAAATTCTTTTTTAAAATTAAAGCAACTTTGAAGCGTAGGATGTGCTCCACTTCAACGCAGTTCACTTAATCCTCCAAAAGGAATTTCTTTTCATTTCACTGCCTTCCACTTGAGTTTCTAATGAAAATCAAAAAAATATAGAAAAAATGCGAAATTTATGAAAAAAATATTCAGTTTTTGGCAATTAAATTTTTATTTTGATTACTCCAAAATTTTTTCGGCCGTAAAAAACCGAGTGGAGTAAGGATGCAAGGGTCCCAAAAAAAGGATACACGCAGAATGCAACTAAATAATAAATTAATTTATAGACAAATCCAAAAAAAATTATTATATGAAAAGAAATTTAAAAATATTTTTAAAATAAAACAAAAATCCAAATTCTAAATTAAGGATCATTAATTATTGTAAATTTAGTATTGCAAGTAGAATGAGCTTGGAATTCCCAGAAACATATTTCAATGAGTATATAAAAATTTTTATTTGATTTCAAAATATGATTCTATTGAATGCTTCATAAAAAAAAATATAATATATAAATATATAAAGGTTCTATAGGGTTATATTTAAAACCTAACAGTAAACATTCCCATTGGTAAAAAATTAATTTAGATCAATCAATTAATTAAGATATAATAATTCAAAAAAATGATTTATTTACTAAATGTACTCATATATGAATGTTATTATTATTGTTAATTATTTTTCTCGATGAGTCTTATGAAAATAAATTATTTAAAAGTTAGAAGGGTTTGAATAGAAATGAAAAGACAACAACAAAAATTTATTAAAGTTTGACTAATCATACAACGCTTATTCAAGTAATGCCAAGTACTCATCATCAGTGGTCTTAGGAAATATTTGAATAATTAGTTTATAGTACATATGATTAATTAATTAATATACATTCATTAAGATAATTCGAAAAAATGATTTAGTTACTTAATATACTCATATATCAATATTATTATTATTATTATTATTGTTAATTATTTTTCTCGATAGTGATGCGTCTTATGATGAAAAGAAACTACTTAAAAGTTAGAAGGTTTCGAATAGAAATAAAAAGACAACAGCAAAAATTTATTGAAACTTGACTGACCATACAACACTGTTTCGGCTATTGCCAAGCTTTCACCTTCAGTGGTCTTAGGAAGTATTCAAATTTTTAATTAGTTTATACTATGTATAATTGAAAAATTCGTATATTTTCTAGGATCACTGATGATGGCTACTACGCAGTACTTGAAACAGCGTTGTATGATTAGCTCAACTTTAATAAATTAACTTAGGTTTGTGTTGTTGTCTTTTTATTTCTATTCGAATACTCTTAAAAAAAACTTATTATTTTTTCTAATTTGCTCTCACTTAATTAGAAAATTTTAATAAAATCATTACAAATTATTATGAGATACTAAGCCTCCTAGGTTATAATTTATAATATAAGCAGAGTAAGGTCTGTGGACCTCTGGCGGTAAAAATAAATTAAAAATTAAATTTAATGCAGCAGCACTGTCACCAGTCTTAGATTGCCTTAAGTCAATCATATACTACTATTGAAACTACATACCCCGTCACAGAAATAGAAGAAGAATAAATCAAACTGTCTCCGGATAAGATTCGCCGTATGGAATGGAATGTAAGCACGCTTTATAAAGCTGGAAAGTTTATAAAAAATATGCTAATAATATGAATGTTAAGCAATTATTAAATAGATAACGTTTACTATATCAACGTTATTATTATATTACAAATTATTAAATAAATAATTATCACAAATTTTATTGTTTTTAATAAACTTTGTTTTTATTTACGGCGTGCCCTCCGTTTTTTTATAAATATTAAATACTTATATTTGTGACCAAAAATTATTATTATAATAATTTGTTACCGGGCTAATTGGTCAAATTTTAATATAAATAAAAAGACATTAATTTATTATTTATATTTAAAAATCGTTTATATTTTATTTCCGATATTTCGACTATCTTCGATAGTCATCTTCAGGGAAAACTACACAAAATATAGGATGTTCACATTTTTATAGCGGATTATAAAGAAAAATCATACAATAAATACAATAATAATGATGACAACAAGAGAAAAAACAACAATAAAAATACAAAAGAAAAATTAAAATTATAAAAAAAAATTTATAAAAAAAAACAAAAAAAGCTTTACAAACATCCTGTGTCATTTGTTTATAATATTCCTATAAGCCTGAGCACAGTTGTCCGTATCAGTTTTATAATTAAGTCTTATATTATTGGGCACTTGAAGTATTGAGAGCATTTCTAGAAAGTACCTCTTATTATGGTTCCTTTCTTCATATAAAATTTTTGCCTTATCAAAATCAGGTTACATATTATTGAAGTTCCAGACAATCAGAGACTAAACTACAAAAAAGACACAGAGGGTCTTGCACAAATTTACAGGTCTCTGATTAACCATAATTAAAAAAATTTAATATAAATTTATAGTTTTATATAAAAAAAGTTTTTAATTTATCTTCCATTGTTACCAATTTAATTTTCGTATATTTATTTTTGATTTAAATTTAAATTTTATTGTTTTTTTTTTTTTTAAATTAATGTTTTGCTTTTGTTCAAATAAATTTAAATGTTAAAAATGTCAAACATTGAAAGAGACAACAATGTTTGTCATTTTTGGTTTTTGTTTTGATTGTATGTTTATATGTTTATTTATATATAATTAAATATGTAATCTTTTATATACACTGAAGATGGTCTACGAAGTAGACCGAAATATTTGTATTAATATAATTTTTGTATAAAAATTAAATAAATTTAAACATTTAACACAGTTGGAAAAAAGTGTAAAAATTTTTTAATTGTTTTAAAAAAAAAACATTTTTATAAACCTATGTGTTAAATAAACGACCTAAGCCCGGTATATATATAAAAAACTAATTAAATATCGGTCGTAATACCAATTTATTATTTTAGTAAATGATATTTTGAAGTTTTTTACTAATGTTTTTTCTTATATGTCACTCTTTCAATTTTAATTTTTTTAATAAACTACTCAGTTTTCCCCTCTGCATGTATCTATCACCCAAACCTATTCATCCGAAGTGGCCGTACTTTGCATTAGATCATTCTCTTTTGCATTATTTATTTACTATGTATTACATAAACAATGTAACATGTACGTAATTGTATTCTGTTAATTTTGTTTTTTTGTCGTAATTAAAGATCCTTTTGTGTAAAGTCCTAAATTATCCGTCTGTCTGTCCGGTATCCTTAAAACTGCATTCCTAAACTTTAAATGTGTTTTTTATTACGAAATTAAATATTTTTAAAAAAGTTAACTTTGTTTATTCAATGTACATTAATAAAAAATTTAAAATTTAGAAAAAATTTAAATTATATAAAATTATAAAATTATTTTCACAAATTAAAATTAAAATTTTTTCCGTCTTCGCATTATATGCGCCATCTTGTTCTCGAATTTCATTATTTGTCAAATTGACACCACATGTGACAGCCATATGTTCTGTGTGTGTGTGTGTGTGTGTGCATAGGACACGTATATTTTCATTTACAAGCTGTCAAAATTTTATAAATTCATTGTTGTTGGTTCGAAGCAGACAGTAATTGGCAATATATTTGAAAAAAAATTCTTTAAGTGAAACTAAATAATTAAATTATAAGTCGCGTAAAATAGTTAAAATGGCTGACGCCAGTCAATGGTACAAGCAAATTCCGCGTTTCACACGCTACTGGCTGACAGCAACAGTTGCTTTGAGTTTATTGTGCCGCTTCGAGATTGTACCCTCACGTTGGAGTTATTTGTCGCGTTACAATGTTTGGAACCAAATGCAATTATGGCGCTGCGTTACCAGTCTTTTTGTATATCCGCTAACACCGTCAACAGGATTCCATTTCCTGATCAATTGTTATTTCATCACACAATATGGTGCGCGCATGGAGAAAGATCAGTTTGGTCGTAGTCCTGCTGATTATTTGTATTTACAAATTATAGTCGCAGCACTGGCTGTTGTTGGAGGATTGCTATTCAATGTGCCATTTTTAATGGATATCATAGTAGTAGCAATAACTTACATTTGGTGCCAATTAAACAAGGATGTTATTGTTAATTTCTGGTTTGGAACGCGTTTTAAGGCCATATACTTACCATGGATACTTGCTGCTATGGAATTAGTATTTCAACAGTAATTAAGATTTCGAATATATTTATTTAATCAATTATTTTTCAAAATTTATTTATGTATATTTTAATTTCTTTTAGTAACTTTTCTTCGCTCATCGGTATTTTTATTGGACATTTTTATTATTTCTTCAAATTTCAATATCCGCAAGATTTGGGTGGACCTACAATATTGGACACTCCAAATTTAATGTAAGTATTACCTACCATTTTGTATGCTAAAAATTATTATTGTTTAAGCGTTCATAACGATTTCTTAAAACTGAGCATACCGCCGTTTTAGGAGATCCAAATCTTGCTAGCCCACCGAAACAGTAACAAAAGTAGTAAATCTTTCGGGTGATAATAACATGTCCTAAAGCAATTATTATCAAAATGATCATAACTAGTACAGTTGAAATGGAATTATTAATCCACAATAGGAGCGTAATTAAAATGAACCATTTTATGCAGCGAAAGCTATCCTTCACAATTTAGTCCAATGCATATACACACACATACATATACACGTGTTAAACTGTTATTTGTCACGCATAAATTCGTCTTTCTTGATAATGTAATGTGTCCAGCTACAACTTTACTCCACATGACGTTACCCGTATTTTATTTTTTCAAAAGCACATACAAATTTGTGCTCTGTTGATTTATGATTCCATCCTGTTGACTTGACAAGATTTATTCAACTGAACCCAAAATAAATTCAATATCTCTGTTTATTTCCTTACTATTACTTTTATCTTACACCATACCACTCTCTCCATGAGGTACCGAATTTCGTCATTGTTTTATGCAGTTGCTTCAGCAACGTGACAAATCAAAACTTAATTATTCATCATAATTAATCAATAGTTCTGTTTTCAGTAAAAGCTGAATCTGCATTTTGCCCATCTACTTTAACTGCTTTCAACAACAATATTTTGAACTTTGGCATTTACTAAGCAATTGGAACCAGGTTGATTACAACAACAATAACAATAGTTGTGTGTAATTCTTGTAAACTTGGACTTTGACTCAATGTTTTTGTGTTTGATGTTATAATAGTATTGCATCACTTAAAAGTTGAATATAGCTTTTATTACTCCAACTTTATTTAAATCATTTCGATTTGATGATAAAATTCGATGATAAAATTTAAAATGTCCAGTAACGCCCGATATTATTTCCTTCTACAATTGTTTGCATTTTTAAATGCCGGTCATCTCTTCTAACATTTCGAAATTCCGGAAGAAAATAGTTAACAACAAATGTTCAGTGTCGCAGGAACAGAACAGAATTTTAAACAGAAACCTTTGAATTGAAGTATGCACGAAAATATCTTATATGAAACATCGTTAACTGATGGTACCAACTATATATTCCAAAATACTATTATATAAAAATGTGACAAGAGAACATCCTACTAATGTATGTATTATGTCTGCTATTAAGCACATGCCAAGGAAACAAGTCAAAACATATTGTGAGCTATACTCTTTCAGTATGGAAAATCTTGTCAAGTCTCATCCAGCTGTTATTACATATACACCACATCTATCTATGAACTATACTCTTTCAGTATGGAAAGTCTTGTCAAGTCTTATCCAGCTGTTATTACATATACACCACACCCATCTATGAACTATACCCTTTCAGTATGGAAAGTCTTCTCAAATTTTATCCAACAGTTATTACATATACACCACATCTAGCTATGAACTATACCCTTTCAATATGGAAAGTCTTGTCAAGTCTCATCCAGCTGTTATTACACCCACCTATGAACTATACTCTTTCAATATGGAAAGTCTTGTCAAGTCTCATCCAGCTGTTATTACACCCATCTATGAACTATACTCTTTCAGTATGGAAAGTCTTGTCAAATTTCATCCATCTGTTATCACATATTCACCATATCCATAAAGAATATAGTAATACTTTTGATAACTATTAATCAAAAAAATATAATCAGTTGCTGCTTAAGTAGATAGCCATAGTGACAAATATCCAAACGACGCATCATCAATCAAAAGTGTCTTTCATAACATTGAAACCGTCGATTAATAACCTGGAACGGCTGAAACTAAATCTCACTAGCCAATTTCGACAATCAAATGCTATATAGATCTCCACCGCTTACAGCAATAACAAATTGCGAGCCGATTATGTTAACCAATTAGAATATGTGGCACTCAGCACATTTTTTCCTATAATTTTTATTTTATGATTTTATTATATTTATATATTATAAATAAATATCGATTTATGTTATTAAATAATATTTCATTATATATAATCTAATCAATTTTGTTTTCTGTTATTTCAGTAAGCAATATGTGCCCGATATTAGTGGTGGCTACAGTGGTTTCGGTGCGCCGCCAGCAACGCGTGCTCAAGGTCAACGTCCAGCGGCGGGTAATGCAGTGTTTGGAAATTCGTGGGGTCGTGGAAACACATTAGGGCATTAAATTTATCTTGCTGATAATTTAATTAGTTTTTATTTATTAAAAAAAATTTTTTCCAATGAAGATGACTAGCATCAATGTAACTCCTTTTAGATATTATACTCAAGTAAATATATGATTATCATTGTGTAAAAGGCACCTCAAACGGTGAATAATAGAGCATTTTTTTAAATGAATTTTACTTATAGCCTGTTCGTACTAGAAGGTTTTAAGACACGCTTTACGTGCGTTTTGCAATGAAATGTCATGGCCTATTCAAACTAGCTGCAGCTTACTGCTTGAAAACTGTTTCTAATGGAAGATAGAAAGACTATGATAATAACTCGAAAATAGTTGCCTTACTTCAACTGATACATATACATATGCATTATGGTTTCATACGATAACGGCTGAATTAGTTGTCATAGACACAGACGAACTTAGAAAATATAAACGACAAAACGGAGGAAAAGTGATTAGCTATGACAGAGTAGACAAACCAAGACAATTAAAAAAAAAACTCAAACAACACAAGTTTAATCCGATCACCAAATACTGCACACACACACACACACACACACGAAAATACAATGCAATTGCTAAATGTTTGTTTCCGCTGATACAAGATTCACGTCGGAAGCCAAAACTTAATTAAATTTTTATATTTCCGTGTTTTCCATAAGCTGGAGCGGGTCCATTCATTTCTTATAGCACGACTTATTCAGCCTTAACACAAAACAGAATTTCACAATTAAAGATATTTTCAATCGTCAAGCTACTACTAGTGTCAACAGGGGCTTTGACTCTATACAAGTTCTTGTTCATACAGTAACGTCAGTTTTGAAGGAACACTCATTAATTGCAGCGCTTAAAAAAAGTCACTAAACCACGCGATTTATGAGCGTTTTGATTACATTTTAAAGTACACATAAGCTCATCATTTCAGTGTGAACAGGCACAATTGCAAAACGCTCGTGAAACGCTGGATTGAAAGCACGCAATGTAAACAAGACCTTATCATTAGAAACTAAAATATCACTAAGAAATATTGTAAATAAGCTAATGTACTGAACTTTAATTAATAATATTAACCTAATATTACATTTACACTGAAATTTTTACACAGAAATACGTTCACATATTGGTATACCACATCTCATTAGTACAAACGATATATTTTGTACAAATGGGCGGCGAATGAGAATGGATGTACCGTACACTACTTATATAAAAAGCTGTTTTATAGCTTGTTTTGATACTCTGACAGAAAAAAAATCCCCTATTGTATAGAAATATTTTAGAATAATTAAAAACTGCTTTTATAGAGCAATATTTGCCATACAAAATAAGAATGAGAATTGTACACAACTTAAAATGATTCAATAAAAATGAAGGATTTTGGGTCAGTGTAAATGTAGTATAATTTATCTGAATTGAAAAATAATATTAAATAAATTTTGGGCACCTTTCTTTATAATAAATATGTATCACATTTTGTACATTCGAAATACAAAGTAAATAAATTAAAAATAAGTTGTTATAACTAATATACATAAATAAAAAAAATATTTATATGATGGTTTATGAAATAAAATAATAACATTTTTCTTTTTTATTGTTGTTTAAAAGCTTTAAGTTAACTTTTAAATAAAAGTTTTTTTCTCAATTTCTTATATCATATTTTTTTCTATAGTTATTTGTTAAATAATGCTACTATAATACGTCGCCCTGAGGATTAAATTTATTTAAAATCACTTAAACTTCATATTAACTTGCATTTATATATAGCTGTGGTTTATGTGTTTGTTTTACTAACAGACAGTAAGTGAATTTGTTATATTATAAACAAATTATTAACAAAAAATGGGATAGAGGTACTCCTAAAAGAAGAGGTGAAATATTTAGGTATTAACATGGACACAACACTCATGTGGCAAGTACACCTCAATTCTATAACCAAAAAGGCTAAGAAAAACCTTTGGACTAGGAAACCTTTGAACCACTTCTAGGAAAATCCTGAAGTCATATCCCCAATATTGCCTTCTGGTTATGCACACAAATGGTTAGACCCATTATACTATATGGCAAATTACAGAAGCTGGCGTGCCTTAGTATCACATGGGTCAACAACAATCTGGCACGGGAGCACTGCTAAAACTACCATCGCGACAACTAGCAATACAAGAGTGAGCTACAATGCAAGCACTCTCAGTCCACACAAAAAAAAAATGAAAACCAGGAAATTTCATCTACAAAATCTTACCAGAGCCGAAACCACTACATATATGACCCGAGCAATTTACCACACAGGCCACGACGACCAAGTGTCGTTGTGTAGTCCCTTTGGGGGTGGTCGAACGGCACTTAGTCGTCTTTGACGAGTGGCTCTGGGACGTAGACCCGGCCGTTCTTGGAACCTTCTTCTTCTTCGACTGGATCCTGGTTAGTTTCAAATTATTCCCACCTCTCCCCCTTCCCTCATCCCAACACTCACTCCCACCTTTTCCATTCCTTACCCCATGTATTCGTCTCGTAATCCGTTCATGTTATCTGCTTTCAGGTCCCGGCGGGTTACAACAACAACAACACCAAGTGTCGTTCACCAACCCCGTTGTTGTTGCGGGCTATAACAACAACAACTACCTCTAAACTAATTATCAATTTTGTATATATGCATCAATATACCAATGTCAATATACCATATATACATATAAGTATCAAGCTGTCAACAGTTTTTATATAAATAAATGTATCTAACTGGAAACTTATACAGTGATGTGATATTTTATATGATTTATATGGAAGAACTTTAGATTCTAATTCCCCATTTACGTTAATGTATGGGTTCTTTTATGTTTATATTATTTAAAGTATATATCTCTATAACAATATGTGATCGACCGAATTCTAAAATTTTGGTGATCGTTTATAATGTCTGACGCTGAATATCTATATATGATTTAATTATAATATAACTACTAAATATTTATAAGAAAGTAATTAAATAATTAAATATTGACGCACTAAAAAGCTTAACAAAACACATTTTTTTAAATAATTTCGTTTATATTTTTATTTAAATTTTCAGTTTACATAATAATTACATAAAGAATAAAATTCAACAAATTTTTATATAAAACTATTTTTCTTAATTATTTTATTGCTACAAAAACTTGAATTTTTTGTTTTTAATTTTTATTTATTTTTTTTATTATTTTATTTTTTTTTTGTATTATTTTTTTATCATTATTTTTATGATTTTCATGTTTTTATAACTATAACGCAAACTTAAATAAAAAGGAAATCTACAATATTTATACAAATTAAAGCATTTCACAATAATTAATAAACATTAAAATATTTAAAAATTAATTTATAACTTATTACATGCAATAAATATTACATTTGAGCCTTACATTTATAAAACGAATAAACTCTTCTTAAATTGAAAATAATTAAACTGCACTGAATGTAACAAATCGCTTTCGCAATTGTTATTTAATATATAATGTATGTATGTTTATGTTTCATAATTAATATAAATATATACACATATTCAGAAATATACGTACATATAGTTTTAATGAGCATTGTTATGGTTTACAAACAAAAATAAATATACAAATTAACAAAAAAATTTTTATTACAATTAAGCAATTATAATTAAATTTTAATTATAATTTTTTTAATTATAATTAAATTTTTTTATGAATTTTTTTTTTGTGTTTTTTCTTTATGTGATTTAACAAAATTAATTAGTATATTCTTAAATTTAATAATAATTAGTTAATTTTTTATTCAATTTAACAAAATTTATTTTGTATTTAATTGATAAAAAAAAAATTTATTTTAAATAAATTATTTCTAAACAAACTGGTTATTATTCGTGTTGCATATTTAACAAGTAAGCAATTTCTCAACTAATTTAATTTAATTTAATTTAATTAAGTGTTTAATTTAGATTTTGTTGACAAAATATATTGAAGATATTTTATGATTTACATAGATTTCTTACAATATTTCTCATAAATATGTTTTGTTTTGTTTTTTTTGTTGTTGTCTTTTATAAAAAAAGAATTTGCTAAAAACAATCTCTGCTAATATATTATATATTGTGTGAGAGATAAATTAGTGAAATTTTTTATTTTAATTTTCTCCACATATTTCAACAATACTTTCTTCATTTTTTTCTTTTCCTTTCTTTTTAACATCGAAAATATATTATCAGAGACAAACCACTGAATATATATATATATATCATTCTTTATAGTTTTTCAAGATATTTTCCTTTTGATTTAACTTACTTTTTTATGTTAAGTATTAACATATATATGTGTAATAAATACATATATATGTACATAAAATTTTTCAATAATTACAAACATCAATTCACATTTACAAACAAGCAAATTTCCATACACTTTTTAATATAAAATAAATTATTAACGCAAACTTTGTTGCATGTATAATAAAATTTTTGTTATACAAAAATTAATTTTTTTTTGTCATTTTTATATTTTGTTTTACATATTTTTCCTTTTTTTGTGTTTTTACATTTTTATATTTTTAATTTAATTTTTTGTTTTTTATTCTACATTGAATTACATACATTCATTTTTCTATAAATATTTTAAGCTCCCTTTTTTCCATACTTTCTTTTTTACATGCATGTGCATATATGTATTTTTTTATATATAACATATATATATATCAATACTAGGTCTGTGGTACCCGTAACGAAAAAATCGTTATGGAGGCTCCATTTTCCGAAATTAAGCTTGACAAAATAAACTCTGTTCACATACTTTAATGTATATAACAACATATATATATATAAATACATATATATATATATATATATATATAATATATATATATATATTATATATATAAATATATATATATATTTATATATATATATATAGTAGAATTTAGAGATAAATATAAACGGCTGACAACCCTAGTGATGACAAGTTTAAAATAAAAAATAAAGTTAATGTGTAATAAGGACCCAATCGAAGCGGTCATGTTTTACTACTAATATATATATATATATGTATATATAAATACATATATATATATATATTTATTGTTGTAGAATTTAGAGATAAATATAAATGGCTGGCAACCCAAGTGATGACAAGTTAAAAATAAAAAATAAAATTAGTGTGTAATAAGGACCCATATATATACAGTGGCTCTCGGCTTCTTTCATCCAACAATGTTTTAAATATTTAAGACACTGTATCTTAAAAATGAATTAGAAAACAATAAAGTTTTTAATGTAAGTGAGGAAAGCCACGCTTATTGAACATAATAAATGAAACAAAGAACATAAAATGTGTTTTTGCTTCGCTCAAAGGGGAAAGAGCCGATCGCAGAATTATAGCTCACAGCTTATTTCATCCAAATTATCATTTGCACTTAGTCGTCAGTATGTCGCGCTGTAGAACGGGATTTTTTTTTCCCGTAATATTTCTAAAGTTTTTTGGTAATATATAGTAATATTTTAAAGTGTGATTTTGGATAATTAATAATAAATAAGTAATTTTTTAAAAAATGAATTGACGCACTACAATTGAGCACAGAGAAAAATGGGTGCTAACCCATTTTAAAGACGCTTGTTCGTGAGAATAGGACTCAAAATATTGGCAGAAATGCACCAAATAAAATTTTCAACTCAGCTGACAACTCAGCGATATACATATTGTTAGAAAAATCAAGTCGAATTCAAAATTAAATGCTCCCGATATAGTCAGGAAGGTACGGATAGAACTAGGCAAGACGTGCAATGCGGAAATCCACTTTAATGGTCGAAAAGCTAAAAACAAATCTTTCATAAGCAAAAAAAAAGTCAGAGCACTCAGCTTGCTTATACTTAGAAGCATGCCCACAAAAAAATAAACTTCTGGAACAACGTCATATTCTCAGACGAGTCTAAATTCACTATTTCTAGCTCAGATGGCATCACTTACGTGTGGCGGAAACCTAATACTGAGCTCAAAGCTACAGTAAAGCATAGCAGTGAAAGTATTGTGGTTTGGATCTGTATGTCAGCCGCCGGCATTGGAATCTGGAGTTTATTGATGGTAATATGGACGAAATAATGTACCTCAAGGTTTAAAAAAAAAAATTTACTCCAGAGTTCCGTGAAACTTGGAATTCCCGAAACATTTCGCTTCTACTAAGACAACGACCCAAAACATAAGACCTAGTTTGTACAGTCTTGGTTGATTTGGTCACATCTGCTCACATCTGATGACCAATATTGGAACAAAATATTCGGCAATATACTATTTCCAACAAAGAAAACTGGAAAAAGTCTATTTTACAAGAGCGAATGAAAATTACTCCAGAAACAACCCAAAAATTTGTAAGTTGAATGCTGAAGAGATTTGACAAAGTGCTAAAAGTGAAAGGGTATCATACCAAGTATTGACTTTGGAACCAATGAAATCTCTTTTTGTGGATGAAATAAGCTGAGGCATTAAAATAGGAGTATTTTTATAATTTATGTTCATTATTTATTAAAATAATATTTTCGGTATTTTTCAAGTTTATAAATTAAATAATAAATATTTTTCCTTAAAAATGGCATTTAAATATTTTCAATCGATGTATTGAAGAAGGCTCCATATTCAATATTTACCAAAATAAACCATTTCATAGAAAATTCTATAAAACATTTTTTTTTTCGCAGCAAAAGTTCTTATTTAATTAAAATTTTTTGGTGTTTAATAGTTTTTTTTTATTCGGAATTTGAGTAACAGCAGTCCGATTTTGAAACCATCATTATTTAAACATTTAATTTAAAATAATTTAGTAAAGGTTAGTTTATATATATATAAGTGGTTAAGAAATTTGGTGTTATGCATGCATAAAAAAAAAAACAAAATATTTCTTATAAAACACTTAAACATCTAATGTTCACAAAATGGAGTTACGTACAGTAGACTCCCGTATAACACAATAAATATGCGTCACATTATATGAACTCTTATTAAATATGTGAAAATTGCATTTAACGTAAACGATTATAAAGTAAAATATTATAGTACGTCGTTTACACTACTGTACTGAACTCAACAAGTACACACCATTTTTAGTGCCATTTTTCATACAAATTCCATACAAAAATTTACTAATAAATGTTTGATAATTATAAATGTGGACATAGAGCTACTATTATTATTTATAGCTTTATAGCTTATTGTACAAACAATCAGAGATTTGAACCGGAACTAAGCCGTAAACCGAAAAAACAGATATTTTTACTAGAGCGAAAATCGAAAATGAAACTAAGAAAATATATTGGTTTATTTTAGTTCAGTACCATACAATATATATGTAAAATTCAGTTTAATTATTTAGTGTACTTATTTATTTATATAAGTTAAAGTCAATTAAAAGTTAAAGTTTAATAATGGATTATTCAAACCACACAACCAACCGCTCTCGCGCAACCGCAAAGACCACTTAGACAACTTAACTTCGCGAAGACTGGACTGTGACTGTAAGTTGCTGCTCCTCGCTTACATCGCTTTCATATATTAATATATATCAATATTGTTAAAACTTTAGTTAATGAAAATAAAAAGTTCAAGAACAATTCTTATTTATAACAATAGGGTTTTAGAAAGAATTACGAAACTAAGATCGGTTTGTCATAAAAAATAATCACTCGGAACTGTAACGAAAACCGAAAAAAAATTTCAGCACCAAATCGAAAATCGGAACCAAAAAGAGCTTGAGAGCCAAACTATATCTACATATAACGTAGAGAAAAAAAAAATAGCTCAGAATTGTTAACTTTACAAAAGATCGTCGGTAAAACGCCAATTTAGTAATGTAATTAACTTCATTTTATAAGGGAATCTATTGTATTTTTTAATAAAACATTTTAAAAAATTAAAAATTTATTTTTTAATTAAGTCGCACCAATATTGATGTGTGAAGTTGTACTTTATATTTTATTTCATATTAATACCCAACAATAATAATTCATTATTGAACTTGGTAATAATTATTGCATTTATCCAACAATTTTTTAATATATTAAACAATTAAATATAATTAATAATTTTTAATATAATTAAAATTAGTCAAATCAAAAAAATAAAATTTAGTGCAAAATGAAAATTCATTTATAGTTATAATGATTTAATATTAATATAATAATTACAGCAATTAAGTACGTAACGTTATATTATATTATTATTATACTAAATAAATAATATAGTTATAGTCACAGAAATCAGATAAATAATATTATAATTATAAAACTTAATTAAATTCATTTCGTATTAAATAATTATAATAATTAATTAATATGTTTATTAATAAAAATTCATTGTTTTAAATAAATTTAATATAATTTCTTAAGTTATCTTCATACATAACTTATTTTAATTAAAACAGTATAACTATAGTAATTATTTCATATAATAAAAAAAATTGTTTTTGAGATGCATTTTTAATATTATTATTTATTTATTCCTTAATTTATAAATTAATACATGAATGTATTTTTGAAATAATTTATAAATTAATATATAAGAGTATATAACTTATATATATACAAATATATATAATTTATAAGCTAATGTATTAATTATTTTATTTATTTTATATTAATTCATTTATTTTTAATTACTTAATTTAATAAATTTTTTTATTGACTTGTTTATTTTTAATAATTAATTAATTTGTTTATTTATTGATTTCTTCATTTATTGATTTATTTATTTTTTTAGTGATCAATTTGTTAATTTATTTACTTATTAATTTTTTATTATTTACTTTTTATTTTTTATTATTTATTATTATTATTTTTAGTTATTTACTTATTAATATTTATTTATTAACTTATTTATTTATTAATTTATTGATTTATTTATTAATTTGATGGTCAATTTTTAAATTTGTTTATATACTTATTTATTTATTTACTGATTTATTTATTTTTCAAATAATTAATTAATTTATTTATTTATTATTGTATTTCATTCTTAATTTATTTATCAATGTATTTATTAATCAACTTTTTTATTCATTCATTTATTAATTCACTATTTTATTGCATTCCCCAAAGGTTCTCTTCGACAAAAGTCGATTTATCAAAATATAATATATTAATAAAATATAATAATATAATACATTAATATAATATAATAATACAATATATTAATATAGTATAATAATATAATATAATAATTTATTTATTATTTATTAATTCATTAAATAATTGATTTATTTTTTTTTTATTTATTTTATATTTCGATATATCGACTTTCGTTCCCCGAAGGTCATGTTCGACAAAAGCCAATTTATCAAAATTTTAATAAACTATAAAATAACAGTCGTTTGTACTTTAATTAACTGATCAATTAGACCATTGTCTTATAATTAAATAATTACAATGCATTTTCTCTCATTGGTTTTAATAGTTAATATTCATCGGGATACCTACATTTTACATTTTATTAGTTGATTAAGGAAGAAGTATTGAAAGTAATATTGGATGCAGGTAACAGGTTGCTACAACTCTTTTAGTGTACCAAGTATGGCAGCTCAATAATAATATATTCAAATAATATATTCAAGCTCTCAATTTAACGGTGTATTGATACAAGAGCTCATAATAACTAGATATTGATCGGGTCAAATTCTCTAAATTGGTTCCATATGCGGCTGGGTAAACATCCCAGAGTTATTCGTCTATACAGACAGTGGAGTGGAGTACCACTCGACTCTCCAAAAAATCACCTGCCTGTCTTTAAATAAGAACTTCTGTGGATCACTCGCCATCGAAAATAAAGTGCAGTTCACGAGTCCCATTGGATCTCCACAGATCGTAAGCAAGGTAACCCAAATAAACTGTCCTGCGAAAGGCACAACTGCTACGGCTACCATATAACAATCCAAAGTGAATGCATAAATCAGTAAAACAAGCTCAACTATAACTCTTAAACACATTTTAATTTCAGTCTAAAGAGATAATTAACGCTCTTCAGAACGTATTTGGGTACAAATGTTGTTGTATGGTAAATATTTTAAATAATTCTATGTAAAAATACTTTCAAAAGGTCTATACGGATTAGAAGATTATAGTAAAAAATAAGTTAACATAATTTTTAGTTTAAGGAATAAGCATTCAATAATAAAAGCTCAGCTAGTATAAATGTTTAAAAAGTTATTCCAAAAAGGACCACTGTTACCCACTAGTATTATTTTGGGATAATGCGCCAGCAAGAACTTCTCTTTTGATTTTTCTTTAACGTCATAATTTTCTTATATTTCTTTCTTCATATTTTTTATATTTCCTTTTTTCTATTTTTTGTCTATATTGTAATTGTCACCTACCGTTTTAACTTAACAGATGAGGTGAATAGGTGAATAGGTGAATTCTTTGGTATTCGATTCTGAATACCAGTTTTATGCAATTATTTAGTTGCGTAGGTAACTGCCAAATCTTTTACATATTCTCTATCTGTAATTGTTTTTGCATGCATACCATCAGTCTTGTCCATGTTGTCTTCTGGACCTGGATTTGGATCGTGTTCAATATATTCAATAGCAGTGTTTTCATCGATTTCTATGTACAAATTAAAAAAAATCAAATAATAAAGATAAAAATGAAAATAATAATTTAAATGAAAATTTTAAATAATTTAATAAATTATTTTAAAATAAAATAAAATATATAAACTATATTCTATAATAATAAATAAATCGTGAAAAATAGTAACAATTTTATATCTACAATATGATTTCTAATTTTAATTTATTTTTATTGTAACGAATGCAACTACCATATTAAAAAGCTAAAAATTAAATTAAATTATTTCAAAAATATAATTATAAAAATTTTTACTATATCATATTTTTTTTAGACTAATGGCATTAAAATTTTACTCAAACTCAAATATTTTAATTTATTTGTTTTATTTTTTTTAATAATATATTATTTGTTACTTTTCTTTTTCATTAAATCGAAGCAAAAAAAAATGACTTTACTAAGACATGGGCGAGTCAACGTCGCACAGTCACCCGGTATTTTATTTTTTGTAGTTGAAAGCCACTTCTAACCGAAGAGAGTATAACTGAGAATAACTGAGATATTTTCGTGATTAGAAAAACGTTTTAACCTACTAAAGGTTAATATCCAACTTTATTTTTACTTGATGTGAGCATTAATCCTAAAATCGTTACGAGTATATCTTAATATACACACGCGATGTGCTGAGGACAGGGGCCAATAGCCACTGATGTAGATATAGGCTTATAAGGATGACGGAGTTTCGGTTAACTAACTGGTGGCTAAAGACCTGGACAACACATTATTAAACGAACATCAGATAGATTATAGTTTGTAGGGCTACATATATACTTTTTTCTTTTTTCGGTAGCTAGCCTTCACCGTATCCGGGTATTGTCATTAGGCAATACACCGTGGCATTGGTTGATAAACATGAAAATTGTTATAGAGTCATGACAGTGACAAAGCTTCAGTTAGTAGATAACTGGAGGTTTGGACACAGAAGTAGATAAATTCAGATTGTTGAACAACTTTATCCACTACTCACTCTGGTATGGAATATAACTTAGTTAACGAAATATATGACTTCAAAGTTTAAAATTTTTTTCATTTAACCCACTAACAATATTGGTACATAAACTAGTTGGCGCCAGTTGGCATATATAATTTTTTTTTTACCAGTGTACTTAATAGCAGCTCAAAAACTTTATAATTATCGGTATATAGCGTACGGAAAAAGGTTTTTTGCAAAATGCTTAGTCTTCAGTAACGTCAGCACCTGGCAAGAAAACAGATGGTCGACATCATAAGTGGTACTAAACTTTGATAATAGTCATAATGCCGAGAGGCGGTCAAATAAAAATATCTGAATACAGCCAAGCAAAACAGGACAGACGAGTCCTCATGTTAGATAATTGGATTGACCCGGTCTAAACTGTACAAAAAAAAAACGTATCAATTAGCTACTTCAACTAAGGTATAACCTACTCAGCACTACGGTATCGGTGTTGACGAGTCACTGAATAATAGGTAGACATGAAACTGAGCCTGCTCTATAATTACTTTTGTCGTGGTTGTGTTATTATTCAAAGGAATAAGGAAGAAACTGTGCTCCTTCTCATGTGTCAATGCCCATATTTAGCTAAAAAAATCTAAAATCTTTTCTTATTGACCTCACCGAGCTGTCATTCTGCAAAATTAGAGATTTAGCCAAGTTTATAGAATTGTCAGGTTAGTTTATTTTTATCTAATGGAGGAGTTGTACGCTCATATGCTCACGTCTCGTCTATGTCTGAACAAATGCCAATCCTGTGGTATTACAATGGGCCATTATTTGAGCTCAAGCTTTTTTGAGTGCACGGCCGCAGTCCAACCTAACCTAACCATAGGGATTGAAGTTATAGTTAGGGTACACGTTGGAAATCGAAGAAATTAAACGTGACAAGTAACAGTTTAGCACATCGTATCATGGAATCGTACGATGCTGAGTCGAACCGAGTAACCCATATATTTTTTTGATTTACAATAATTCCATTTTTCACTTCGACATAAATATTTTAATTTTGGATTAATTTCATATTTGAAGTCCCCAATCTGAATTGCTCACTTTTAATTAAACTATATTCTATATCACAAAACGAACTTATAAAGTAAAACAAATTAACTTTAAATGAATGCTAAATACTGAAATAATAAAATATTTAAAAACAATAAAACAAATAATTATACATTAAAAAAAACTAAAACTTACAATATTTTTGTTTAAAACACATTAATTAATAGAAAATTTATAACAAATCTTGTTTACACTTGATTATTGATTTCTTGATGAATTATTTTGGCAGCCAATAAGCACTTATCGCTAATGCGCAAATTAACAATACCGAAAAACAATTTAAATAAATTAATTAAAAAAAATTAAGCACTTATCCCTTACTGTTACATCTACTTACCGATGGCGTCTTCGAATTCAGAATGAGCTGCATAATCAGCAGGTTGTATTATAATGGTGCCACTGTGCTCAACGCCTGCTCTTAATTCACCCGGTTTTTGTTCTATATTAGTTACGCTGTAGTGTTCATTGTCTGCATAATGTGTGTTGGCAGTGATATTAGAACTGGACATCTCCTCATTTTCTTCAACAATAATTTCATCTTCGAAACTATCATCAACAAGTATTGGTACATGGTCATGTTGATATGTTGCTTTGTTCACATTTCCGTGCTGATTGCTTTTATTGACTGCCGCAAATGCAGTGGCTTGATCCAATTCCATTTCCCAATCGGTAGCACCTAACACAAATGTTGAGTCATCTTCATGTCCGCCCTAAATAAAATATAAGTTCCTATTACATATCATCAATCAATTTTACTAGCACTTACCTTTCCTTTCAATTCAATAGCGTGTGCATTTGATTGAATAGTGTTACCGCTGTTATTAACTAGAATAGGAGCACCAATTATGTCGATTGGTGTATCTTCAGTAATCATTTGAGCACTGTCCGGTTTAGTTGGGGACTGTAGAATATTTCCTGTAGTGTTGTGTTTCTGGTTTTCTATTGTTGAGCTCGTCGGTCCAATGAGAAGAACATTTGCTTTCCCACCATTCTCAGCTTGTTTCTGCTGCATACTAACTATAGTACCTTGACTACTGCTCTCATTGTCGTCAGTAGCTAAATTTGCTGCAGATAAAGTTATGGAACCTGTAGCCGTACGCACCGTATTCGATCCTGGTATATACATTTTGTTACCAAATGAAATGTGCTTCTGCTGTGTTTGTTGATAATTCGCTATTGAGTTTTGTAGTGTCGGCGACGACATGGACGCTGGTATAATTTGAACTTTTTGTATTGCAAATCTAGTGTTTGCTTGCTGCGGAGCTGAAGTAGCTAATGGCATACCTAAATTTTTTTGTAGGGTACTCGTTTGTGTTCGAGATTTCGTTGCATCAACGTTTGCTGGTTGTATGAATACTTTACCATTGGCGGATTGGCAGATTTTAACACTTGTGCGCAGGCCAGTGTTAGCGTTCTTTAGTTGCTGCTGTAGGTATTGTTGCTGCGTTGCTGTTGCTGGTGTGGCTGATATTGTGGGAACTAATTTAATATTGCTTATAATTTTAGGCCCATCTGGATTCGAGTTTCCGCTTGTAAGCTATGTTTCAAAAATAAATTGAATATTAAAAACTCCGTTACACGTATATGTCTAAGTACATTACCTTTGCGGTCGTTGCAGCATTTGTAGAAACACTACTCGTACTGCGGCCGAGAATATTGGTTTTTATGATGGAGGGTTTGCGGAAAACAGTTGTGCCTGCACTGCTACTACCAACAGACGTCAGATGTATATTGGTGCCAGTTGTTCCACTACCACTTGGTTCTTGAGAGAGCATAACAGGAGATTGTAACTTCTTCATAATTGTGGCGCCACCCAAGGTAGTGCCCGCGTGAGTTGTGCCACTTCCAACACCTATTACATTAGCTCCATTATTCAAAATATCGATTTTAGTTATTTGTGTAGAACTGCTTGGTGTGATATTTGTGGTCGTACTGTTCACACTGTTTCCTGAAGCGCCCAGCATTAGCGGTAATATTTTCGTGGTAAGTACTTTACCTTGCGCTGGCTGTTGCAAACCTTCATTTGTACTTGGATGAGCGAGAGCTGGACTCATTGAAGCCTGATCGGCTAACACCGAAAGTCCGCTTACATTAGCGTTATTCACTGCCGCTGCAGACACAACTGTTGATGTGGGCATTCTTTTTGCAGTAATTTTTGTTCCAGGCGGTAAGATTGTGGTGTTAACGCCACGCAATTTTGCAGTTGTCGAAAATGGCGAGGAATGCGGAAACGTTAATATGTGAGATCCTTGCGGACTGTTTATTGTTGGTTGACGATCTTCGACAATATATTTTTTTACAGGCGTTGAAAATGGCTGCTTTTCGAGTTTATTGAAGACGACTGGAGTTGTGGGTGATGTAGCATTCAGTGTAGTTGTTATTGTTGGTGTATGATTGACATTTTGCAATTGTTGCAATTGACCTGATGTGATAGTTGCTGGCACATTTAATCTGGCATAATTTTTTGTAACATCTTTTCTGGATGTTGGCGCTACATAAGAACCATTTTCATTCTCAGGTATATTATCCACTTTTAAGTAATCAGCACTGGCTACAATGGCTTGTGCGTCAAGATGTGAGATTTGATCTCCACTCTGCAGGTGCTCATATTGAAATTGCGGTTGAGTTATTCTCAAGGATATTTGTAGCGGTTCTTGCTGCAATACTAAATTCTGTTTTCTTTTATTAACTTTGGGTGGCACGTCTTGACGCTTATTTTGTGGTGCACGCCTTGTTCCTCGCGGTTTGGGTGTATGTTGTGGTTGTGGTTGTGGTGGCGGATTTTGTTCCATTGGCTGATTTATGTTGCTCTGATAAGCGTACATGTTTTGTACACTTGTCTGTGGAGGTTCATTTAAATTTCCATCCGATGTAATATGTAGGTATTTACGTGCTGATATATTTGGTGATTTCCTTGTTGTTGGTTCATTAGCAGCTCGTTTTCTGCTTGGTGCATTTTGGCCTTCACCGGCATTTCGTTTTAACGTTCGTTTTGGGCCGTCAGGTATGTTCGGCGCTGGATACTGGAAATTAAAAAAATAAGAGTAAGAATTTATTTCAAATACTTCATAAGTTTTATTTATATATAATTAAATTTTTACATTATTTTGTAAGATAAAAAAATTAACAAAAAAAACATAAGTAAAAAAATAATATTAATCAATAAGAAATGTGAATAAATATATAAACATATATATAAATCATATATTTATATCATATATAGATTATATAAATATTTTTATATTAATTATATAATTATAATATATATGAATTATGTAGTTATTTTATATATAAAATATATAATCGTATTGTATATAAATTATATATTTTGAATACAGTGCCAAAAACTTTAATAACTTATCTCAGATATACAATATACAATATAATAACACAAATGCTGAACTGGATAGCTGAAGGGATTAAAACATATTGATGTAGAAGAATAATTATAGTCACAGCTCAACTTTGAGAAACCACAATTGATTTATATGCATATAGCGGAGGCGAGAAACATGCTAATCCCAACTACAGTTAAGACGACGAATAGTGCATAATAACAAAACTAACTTTATTTCATAAAAAAAAACAGAGAAACAACCTGAGAAAAATTTGATCTATGAACTAAATAATAAATAACGTTGACGTTGAAATTGTACCAAACAGTACCGCGCTGCACGTATTCCAAGGACAAAGAGGGATATTTGCTTATCCTAAAAGTAATTAGCATTGATGCGAAATGCACCAAAAATTAGAGGATTCATTCATATAATAAGATGACCTAATGCTACTTCCACCGAGCACAGAAGTAGTACATACGGTCATCAACCGGCTAAAATCTAACAGGCCCTAAATTATAGGGATATAGTATTGTCAAACACCTCCTATGAAATATCCCTTCTAGTCTTTAAGAGTGAGCATCCCAATATGGTAAAAACATCATTAGTCAAAAACAATCTACTATCCTTCAATTACTTTACATCATGAATAAAGAAATACGCCAACCGCCGTTTAAATCTAACAAACCCTACACAAAAACTTTACAATAATATCCAAGCCAAACTATATCAATATGTGTACATTATCTTACAGGTACATAAGCTAATGGTTGCTATAGCTACATTAAAAGAAAAGTTCTATAGAAAATTTTTGGCCGCATGTATTATGTAGGACGATTTCAGAGATGCTACAAGCAGAAACACTATGCGCTTACTGTAGAAGCAGAATCTGCTAAACGGGCTATGTATTTCGTAAAAGAAAATTTTTTTCTAACAGATTTCATAATAAACGACAGTAAGGTAAACCATGTCACTAAAAGGGTGGCGTAGATCATGATACGTGGAAAGGTACCCAATCCATTGTCATTGGATTCATGGAGAAACTTTTTAAAAAAGTACAAGACCAGACATTTTTGTGTCGAAGATAATGAAAGGAAAAATTAAAAAACAGCTAAATTGACAAAAAAAAAATAAATATTACCTAATAATATTCGTTTTTTGTCAATTTGGGTAGTATCAGGTTCGAGTCCTGTTTTGGGTAAAATTACTTAGTACCTAATCAATTCGATTATTATGGTACTAATAATTAAAAATGTAGGATAAAAAAGTTGGTTTATTAATTAGAAGCGAAACATAATCCGGGTACAGATAAAGAACTCTTACCACTACAATGCAGCGGTGCCATGTAGTAATAGGTCCTATCTCAATTGAGATCAGGATATAGCCATGTGCTTAACAGTTACTTGTCACGCATTAACGTGTCCATTTCTAATGTGTGCCCTAACAGTAGCTTCACGCCCCATGACGTCGCCCATCTGTTTTCTTGCCCACATGCAGACACTAATTTGATTCCAATCGACATTTGGACTCGTCCCCTTGAGGTAGCTAGGTTTCTTCGACTGCATCCTGGTTAGCTTCAAATTATACCAGGTCAAATCCAATCAAAAAGGAAGAGGTCAAATTATACCCTCTCCCTTTCTTCACTCCCTGTACCACAACCCCACCTATACACTGCTTTACCCATGTATTCGTCTTGTAATCATTTCATGTTATCTGCTTTCAGGTCCCGGCGGGTTACACAAAAACAACAGCACCTAGTTTAGTTTAGTTTAGTTCAGTTTAGTAATTCAGCAACTACAGAAAAAAATGTTACCAAAGTAATAAGGGAACTATTGTGAACCTTCATTGAAAATATTAACGAATATTCCAGTCATCTCTCAAAAGTTTGTAAACAAAAATTCAAACAAAATTAAAAAATTACACAAATTTAAAAATCATGAAAACAACATAAAGAATCATAAAGAAAACAATAGGGGTATTCACAGCTTCGAGTAGCGCACTCGGTAACCGAATAACGTATTAAAAGTGCAAAGCAGCAATAACAAAATACATGTCCAGTAATGCGTTACTACGTTAGTCAAGGCTTTGCTTTGACCAACATTTATATTGCACTTTTAATATATTTTCAATGTTGCCATCTTTCTTATACATAAGAAAGAAGTTTACTCCGAAAAAGTATTTATACTAAGCATTTCGTATGGGCAGCATTTCAAAATTGTTCTTCATTCAAATTTTAATTATTTTCAAAGCGCATTTTCATTTTAGTTTTGATTTATTTAATAATTCAAGAAGAGTCTTTAGTTGTTCGAGTATGAACATTACTCATTTTACTTTATTTATAAGTTATTTTCTAATTTATTTAAAACTTATTAAAAAATTGTTATAAAATGTTTTTAAAAACTAATATATAGCATATTGAAACCTCTTAAATCATGTCAAATTTTAAATATTAATAAATTAATATATATATTATTTTAAATTTTATATTATATAAAGCCATCTTATTCTATTTAGACTATTTTTTATAAAAATGTCAACAATTTTGTTTTTTTTTACTTAATTTCGGCATAACATTGATATTTATATTAGAATTTCTTTTGTTTCCACAATAATTTACAAATTCGTTAGAACACAGCTGATTTTAACAGCTGTCGTTAACAAATCGACACAATCAGGTGTGCTCACGAATTAGCGTGACTGATTGCACTTTTACTTGGTTGCCGAGCTCGTTAATCGAACTCGTGAATATCCCTAATATATTGTATACACAAACATTAAATATACAATATATGTTAAACAAATTTTCAATCAAGCATATATTAATTAAATCTGCATAATATACACATATTAACTAATATTAACTAAAATATTAGTTGGCAACCCTGGCAAGTGAACAAGTGCCGCAAGTAATAATAATATATATATTTAGAAAATAAAAACTTTAAAACCTATCATTTAAATAAAATAAAAATATTTTCATTTCTCTACTGACGACTCTTAACGAAAATCATGGTTATATGGACACTACGCAATGCGCTACAGCTCTTAGACTATGTTTTCAGTTAAGCGAAATTACGTTTTTTCACTGAACTGATTTAACGAAAATACCAAGTGTTTACATTGACGAAAAACAGCTGATGTGTTTTGATACACCGTGAATAAATGTGTAAAAATAACTAAAGAAAACTATTTTAGTAATTATAATTTATTCACAACGCATGCAAAAATGTAAGTTAGTAATTCAATAGAATATGGCTACAATTTTTTGGTTAAGGAATATATAGCGGCATCCCTAAACCATGTTTTAAAGTGTTAAATCTCATTTTTAATTTAATTATATTAAAATTAGTAAACACTTATATTTAAACATTTTGTAAAAAAACTTAACTTTCCGTGTCGAAAAGTTGATTTGGTATCAATGACTATGTCTAATAACTATATAGTGCCTTTGATAGTTCACTTAATTAAAAAAAATTGAAGTCGTTATTATTGTAGTATGCTTAAAAAATTTGTTGAATATTTTTTCTGCAAGTTTTGTTGAAAAAAATAAAACATTAAGACCCAAAATTAGTAAATGATCCTATATCAAGACTGTATATATCAGCTGGAGCCGCTAATATCCGATAATGATGACATATGAAGCATAAATTCAAAATGATCAGAATTGTATTCTGACATATTATATGCATTATTTCGCGTTTTTAACGTGATATGTCAAAAACGCGAACTTTCGTTATGATCACAGCATGCGTTTATACGTGCGTATTTAATTAACTCATTTTGAATTAATGCGGGTTGAGGTGTGTTAAAAACGTGGTACACATATGTTGCATAAAATATATATATTATTATAGATATAAACTAATAAATAATATAGATAATTACATATATCGATATATATACTTACATATTTAGCATGGGTACAAATGTTTATACTTATATAAATAACACAATATATAGACTTATATACATATATATATGTATATACGTTTATATAGTCAATACAAATTGATTTGATATATTACTTGCTGGTTGCATGTATAATATAAATATAATTTATTAGTTAATCATTTTTTGTATCAATAATTATTACCTATTTTAAAGAGTATAATTTCATGTATGTATGTACTAAATAATTAATTATATAACGTGTGTAAGTATATGCACATGCAAATCGTTTTAAGTAGAGAAATATTACTTACAGGATTACTTGTGACAATATTTGCTGGCTGCATTAAGTGTTCATTATTCTTGTCTGCTGCTTCCATTCCTGTACGTAATTTTTTATATTCTACACCTGTTTCAGAAGGTAATGGAAGCTTTGAATTTTCACTGGTAACCTTAGCAGCAATTTTGTTTGCTATAATATTTAAAGCAGTTTGTGGTGGTACGCGCGCCAAAAGTGGAAATGGACGTCGGCCCTCCCGAGCCCATTCTTGCCAAGTATTCGGTCCAGCTAAACTAAAGTTTCCACGAAAAAAAAAAATCGGTAAAAAAAAATTTGCGAATATATGTAACAAGCAGAACTAACGTACTTTTCCGCAATTGTACACAGTTGTTCGTCATTAGATACACGACGCGCTTCAGCCCGATGTCGTTCCTGGGAAATACGAAACATATTTCGCAAATCCTCGAGCACTTTGCTTTTTGCCTCATTGAGACAACCTTGGGCGCGAAACACACTTATAAGAGCTGCATATGATTCTAATTCTAAAATATAATTAAGCATTATTTTAATAGCAGCAACATCACATATTTATATTATATTTTCATATCCATTTGTTGCGAAGTTTTTTTTAAGGTTGGTGTAAGTCTTTAGCAATACTAACTTACCAAGTCTCCTCAATGCGCCACGGCATTCATCCTTTGACATTACGATCGTTTTCGGCCACATCTTAAAGGATATTTCATTTAATTTTCAATCTTACAACCACCAATTGATTTATTTATATTTTTCTTTTTCAATTCTAATCGGTTTTTTATTTTTCTACTCTTTCTTATTGAGAAATCAGTGTATTTGGAAAAATCTTCCACTATCACTAAGATTTGGCAGCCATTTATGTTTATTTGTCAAGCTGTGCTTGTCAAAATTTGTTATCGAATGAAAAAAATGCAAACACAGTGTTGACAACTGTCAAAATGTACAGCGAAGTGTTCAGAAATGTATTTCGAGAAACAAAAATTGTTTATTACTCAACATATAATATTAATATTATTAATATAAAATACTTACCATATACATATAACTTAAGATATATATATATATATATATATATATATATATATATAATATATATATAATTTACTGCATAGAAAAAAAATAATATTAATTTGGTTTGATTTAACAATAGTAAGTCTTTTCCACTTTTAATAATAAAATCTTAATAAACTATGTTCAAACTGAAAGCGAATTAATTAATAAATATTTTTCAACATAATTTTAATTTTTATATATATATTACATTTACCTGTTAAAAATACTTGCGTACTCAATTATTCTATGAGCATATGATGATTTGTCTGTCTGTCCAATAGCTGGTTACTACCTTCATTTTTTGCAAATCATATTGAAAATGTTCCGAAAGTTATATATATGTAGGATCCCACCTATAACTTCATATGTTATGCATGAATTCGAAACGTATTTTAATGTAAAAGTTTAATTTTTGTTAAGTTTTTTCTAAATTATAATAGTTTTTAAATTCGCACAACAACAATTTTATATTTATAGACTTTTTGTGATATGAACATTGTTGCATTTTTTCATTAACGAATATTATTCTATATAAATTTTTTAAATATAATTTTTAAAAATTTATTAATTCTTAAATAAAGATTCTAGGATGATTTTTAATCTTTAATTTCTTCGTGCTATCTTATATATAGACCCTGACTACTTATCAGATGCCACTTAAAATAATTTACAAATTATTATATATTTCATTATAGTATGTTTATATAAAATAATTTGTAAAGTAATGTTATTATTCTTTAAGATTTTAAAATTTATTGTTAAGCTTGAATTTAAAGCGATTCAATAAAGACATATTGTTAAATAGAAAAATAAATAAATGAATATAGTAAACTCATAAATTTTTTATGTACTATCTTTAAAAATTTTGATGTAATTACGTCATCTGACAAAGGAAATATATTATTCAATAATATATGGTAAAGAAGTTATGGAAGATATTCTCTGATATGTGGTCTCATCTCATATAAACAAATGTTTCTTTTAAATCACTATGTCTGTTTATGATTTTCAGTCAACTCGATCTTAACTTAAAAAACAACGATTTTTTTCTCCATGTTTTTTCCATTATATTTTTTACTGCGATTAACCGATTAAACATTCAAATGAAAAATTTACATAAAATCATATATAAAAAATGTTCTATAATATTTGGACATCTATACAATTCTGTTTATGCGGATATATGTCATTTTTATGTGTAAAATGCGTATTAATTCTAAAGTTTAAAATGTACTTCTTGTTTTTAAAGTGCACAATTTTCGAATCTCAATTAATAATTTTGCACATATAGCATAAGGTGTTCACACTGCGATAACTAACTTAGCGAAAAGTTAAACAAAAAAGCGAAATTAAATATCAAAAAGTTTCAAAAAAAACAGTTTAATACAATAAAATTATTTAAAATTATATAGAAAAGAACTTAACAAATATTACTTTTAATCCATATAATTTAATCCAAGCGAGGCGTATTGATGCTGGATTCATCAATATAATATTTCATAATGAAGAGATTGCTAATGGAATAGTAGTCGTTAAAATTGTGTAATTATTGCTTTTTAAAAACATTTTGTTGTTTATTCAATATTTTCACTACATTTCTTATTTGTTTTGTTTGAAATTTGTTTTCAAATTGGATTCGCGTCTTTTTTTGTTTTGTTTTTATCAACATTTACATCCATACAACATTGCCATATTGATTCGTTTTAGAAAGTATTTTCTATTGGAGCACTTACTAAGTAATTGTACTTTTTGCATCACTTTTAAAATATTTTAAATGCTTATATATGACATATATTTTTTGTGGTGTGTACAATATAAGGTATGAAAATTTTTAACACTAAAAATTAATTAATTTGAATAAAAGTAAACAAAGTGAATATTAGGTAGTATTTTTATTTTATATATTTAAATTAATTAATTTATTTATGTATTTGAATTTATTAGTAAATGTGAACATTCAGAATAGACTGAATTTTGAATATGCATAGAAACTTAACACCTAAAAGTTTTTGCGAATAAAACCCATATCTAGATTTTAAAAGCATCGTTGTTGCTTCATATGTTTTTTTTCGGAAGTTGCAAGTATTTTATTGCTACTCTGAAAAAAAATACTACGGTTATTATTATCTTGAAAATTTTGAATTATTAAATGTAGTTTACTACAAATTACATACTAAATTTATCACAACAATACATTAATTATGACAGCATAAACTTCAATATCAAGTTAATACTTTTTTAATAATGAGCTTATGGTAAATAAAAAACAAATAAACAATTAAATTTAATAAAATTAAATTATTAAGAAATAAAAACAATTTTTATATAAAATTGAGCACAATTTATTAGAGTATACTTATTTTTAATAATTAATTGCTTTGATGCATACTTTTCAATTATTTGCAGTCATATATTCTATGAATTTTTTTAACACTTGGTTGGTATGGTTGCCACATTGTGATTCTGATCCAAGCTTAGATTCTACAACGAAAGGCAACTATGAAACAGGTGTTATATTGTGATACAATTAATTCGAACAATTATTGGTATTTATGTAGAAACCTGCACTAATTGCTATACATTTATCGAGTTAACTGTATTTCTTGCTTTAATTTAAAATTTCAATAACTCCATTATATAATAATATTTTTGTAATTAAATTATAAAGCAAGATGTATGTTGAAATTTAAGTCTATTTTGTCATATAAATGGATTTTCAAAAAATGTCATAAATAAATATAGTTTAAATAATTATTTTCCTGTTATATATCTATAATTTTCTAAAAATCAAATATATGTTTGAAATGTTTGTATTGAGAGCAAGTCCAGAATGTTAAGAGTACTCCAAAGTACATAATTAGAAGGTTGTAGTTAAAAATTTTACTGTTTGTGAATAAACGAATTTTTACATAAAAAATAAAGATATTTGAAAGTCTTCAGATCTTTAATTATGAATTGAGTTTAGCTAATTTAACAAATAAAATTTAAGTTAATCAGCTTTCAGGTCGGTTATTTAACACTTAAATTGTTAATAAGTACAATTACTACATTATTTTTAAATTTTTTAAATATATTTTAAAATTATGTATATATTTTATATAAATATATCGCACTACTTCATGGACCATCTTCAGTTTTTGTAAAATTTAAAAATTATACATTTATATATTTAAATAAATTATAGTAGTGATTAGCGCAAAATCAATTAATTATTAGTCAGCTATACTATTTTATATTGTTATTAAATGCCACACGCCTGATATTATATCGCCCATATAAAACCATATGATTTTTATCATATTTTGTAGAAAAAAAAAAATCATATGACAGTAGACTTCAAACTGTTATTAAGTTTTAGTGAATAAGAAACTATTTGTTATGCTTAAGCTGTCAAGAAAAGATAAAAGAATAAAAAAAGATGTCACGATAGTCACCGGCAAGGAAAACTATTCCAACTAATATTTTCGTTTTAATAGCTTATAAAAGATTGAAGGTTTGTGTTAAAATTAAAATTAAAAAATGTTCAGAACGGCAAAGAATAAATTTGATTCGGGCGAATTAATGCGAAAATTAAAAAGGATAACTGATGGGAATTTCATGACCTACAAAAGGCTATTTTTGCTGCTATTGGCAATTTGTGTGTTCTTTTATTTGCTGCCTCCAATATTCAAATACCTATTTATGAACGCGCCAGAAAAAAAGGGTATAATTATTGTATACATTACACTGACAATAAGCTGTTACTTGACAATTTATCTTTAGATCCATTGATGCAATGTATGGATGATCGTTTAACACCATTCTTCTTGCAAAATTTCGAATATGATGCGAATATAAGACATGTACCTCCACTGCCAAATGAGCAGAACTCCATACCATATGTCGGAAATGGTTACATCGGTTTGGAAATCACACAGGATGCACTATTAAATATTAAGTTTGGACGTGCCATGCAATTGCCAACGCAGTTTTATCCAATAGTTAATGCTGCAGAAAAGAATGAAGGTTCGCGGGAGGCAACTGTTGTTGAATATTTGACGGGTATCGTGCACCGGTAATTAACATATTAAATTACAAAAGCCATTATTATTTTTGTGGTGTGAATTTACACTGATAATATGTGTGTTTATTTTGCAGATTTCAGTGTTTTAGCAACTATTTTGTTTCTTACGCTTATTACGCGCATCGTACATATCCAAGTATTTTAATGCAAGAAATTAAGATAACAAATACAAAAAATATAATGGAAGAAGTGACATTAAATTTGCCGCGTGTACATTTTCAAACGATATCGACACGTAACATGCAGTTGGGGTAAATACTAATTAATTAATTTATCAGTCTTATAGTCCTTGCAAATATCTATATAATCTATATAAATATAATTTAAGCAGCACCAATAGTGTAAATAATGGTATCAAACAGTTTGATATTATTTCCGGTACTGTGCCACTAGCAAAATCCAAAGATTCCACAAATCAAATAGTCATAAGCATTGTTAAGCCGCAAATAACAACTACAATACAATTGAAAAAACGTAGCACTGCTAGAATTGAATATCCGATTGCCATACACTATTCGAAACCAGTGAGCCAACAGCAACTTAAGGAAGCAACTGAGGAGACAGAAAATAAAGCCATACAAGCTATGACGAGAGCGTTACAGAAACTACAAACCAAAACAGATACAGTCGCCACCAGCAATGTATACAAACAGGAACACATAAACGTTTGGACAGATCTTTGGGCAACAGGTTTTGGTATCAGTACATCGAAGGCAGAAGGCAGTTTAAATGGTGATCGTATTAATGCTACAATGTACGCTGTACTTTCACAAACCCGCAGTTATGAGTTTGAAGAATTTGTATCCCAAACGGCACCAACTAAACAGGAAATCGATAAAGCGCTCACATATGCAGAAGGTTGCTATGATTCATATTACACATTGCAAGCAGATAATTTATGGCTGAATATGGATTCATTAGAAAACTTAAACAATGTGGTTTCTTCGTGGATGTTGACTTTAGAAAAACAGGTGTGTTTACTTTTATACAATAAATAAACAAAAGAGAAAAAAAAAACAAGATAATGATAACAGGCAAATGTGACTTGTATGTATTTGCATATTAGTATTAGTATTTATGTTAAGATAAATATATATAAGATATTATAATATATGTAATTAAGCAATAACATTAAGGTTACAAATGGTCTTTGTGCATTGAGCAAGTTGGTGATTCTATAAAGTATATATAATCAACTGATAAATAGAAATTATTGGTTATAATTTTTGGAGTTAATTTTATTTGTTTAAAATCGAATATAAATTCAAAATTTTGTCCAAAATTTTATAACCCACACACATGCATATCGGAAAAGCAGTAAAATTAGTAGAACCCTTTTTTCAAAATGCATCTGACAAACTGAACATTTTTCAACCCACTACTGTGTAAGCAATGTCTGCTTGTGTGTCACTCACATGCAAATTCCAAAAGCAGCATGATCAGTAGAACTGTTTTTACAGAATGCATCCACGAACTCAACATTTTACAACCCACTACTGTGTAAGCAATATTTGCTTATATGCCACATACATGGGATTCGAAAGGCATTTATGATCATTAGAGCCCTTTCTCCACTATGTATTCTTCAATCCCTGTATTCCTGTCATAAATATATCGACACATTTGCAATAGAGCTAATATCAGTAAGGTCGCAAGGAATTATTACAAAGTTCTCAATAGGCTTCTAGCTGCCTGATATCTGCGAAAGAAAACATATGCCTCCATATAAAAAAATATAAAAAATTCTGCTTAATAAATTTTATATAATTTTTTTTATTTATTAATTAATATATATAATATTGTATGATTAATTTATTATACTTTTTTACAGGGTTGCCATAATCTTATACGTGCTGGTGCTTCCGGTGTCATACAAGCAATGGTCTTGAGTTTTGGTAGTTTTCGCTTTAGCAATCAACATTTGGAATGCAACATGCATCCTAAGACATTACATCGCGATTTTCATTTCCGTCGTTTGAATTATGGCAACAAAACGCATGTTAATGTCACCATACAAGTAACAGATGACAATAAAGCCGTTATATACGTGGCGTTAGATAGATCAGATCGAAGTTATTACGCTTGTGACGGTGGTTGCGCGGATGAACCTATTTTACTTACGTACGTATATTCTATGAAAACTTTAATTGAGTGAAGCGGACGGTATACACAATTATGTGTTTGAATCAAATAACCAGTTTTTTTTAAATATCACGAACTACAAAATAGTTCCCACTAATATCAATCACATCGTGATTGCCGATATTGCCGATCCTATAGAATTAGAGAAAATGGTTATGGTGGATTAACAAGTTCCGTTCATCATATTTGTCAGAGATTAAACAAACAGATCGACAAAGTAGGCTACAACAATATCATATAGCATGTTTGTTTACACTCATAATATAATGGTTAAGTCACTATTACATTTGTAGGAAGTTTATAAGATCTATAAGATCGTCCATAACGATACAAAAATATGGTGCTACACATATTATGGAAAAAATGGTTTTGTTATTTGATAAACATATTGGTTGTCTACAGATCTGTAACGAGAAATTTATTTCGTATCACTTATAGATTGAAAACCAAATAAGTTTGGATGAAATCTTCCAGATAATTTTTTTAGAAAAAATTTAACCAATTCATCTGGATCAGTAGGAGTACACCATTGAATCGAATTAAATCTCAATAATTCCCACTTTAAGTATTAAATGAAAATATTTGTTCACTTTTAGTCAAAGCCGGCGTCAATTTCCAGTTAAAATAACAGAGCCACTAACGGCTATTTTGTACATTACGGAGGATAAACAGCACATACAGGAGCTCCATGATGCCCTACATGTGAAACAAGTTGTGGAAGGTTTGTTTTGATATATTTTTGTTAATTAAATATTTTGAAGATTATGTTTAATGAATCATTTTTATTTACCACATGCAGCGCCTGCACATGAACAGCATGTGATCGCTCTCCACAAACATGGACATCAACTGGGTGGTTTGCCTACGCTGTTTTGGGTTTCGATTTGTGCAATAATAGTAGTATTTCATGTATTTCTCTGTAAATTAATAATAAAGGAGTATTGCGAGCCTTCGGATAAGATAAGGTATCGTTATAACAAACCGTGATTTTAGATTTGTGTCCTATATTATTTTTATTTCCTTATAATTTTCAATTTTATAAATATGTCTATATAAATAAATTTGAAGTTGAAAATCAAATAACCATGCATATGCATAAATATGTTCAATAGTTTTAAGTATATTATGTGAATAATTAAGAAATATAATTTCATTATTGCGTGCTTTGTATAGTTAATTAAATTATGTAAATTAGTAATATAGAATAAAAGAAATTTGTTACACTCAATCATGTATAATAACTTAAGTAGTAACCTGAATAATCACTGTAAATTTATTAAAAATAAAAATTAGCTAAATTGATAATATAAAATATATTAAAATTTTATAATTATAACGAAAAATATTATAAATGAATTATTAAAAATTTTTTTTATAAAAAAACCAATCATCAAAAACTAAACGATATTGTATTTAATACATGTATTATAATTTACAAATAAATATGTATATATTGTTTATATATATATATGAATGTATATATAAATACATATACATTTAATATAAATTACATTTGTAATTAAAAATGCTAAATTTGTGTTTTAATTAAATTTAACTTTCAAATTCAGTTTCGATATATACTTTTTATTTTCGATATATGTATTATTATATAATAGTATTTTTGAATAAAATAAACTCAGTTTATTGGAATTAAATAAGTTAAATGCGCTAAATTAAATTCTATTATACATGAAATAAAATTTAATTCAATTCAAAAAAAACTATTAAATTTATTTGACTTAAATAAAACTAATGAAATTTTTTTAATTGAAATATAATTAATGAAATTTATTTAAATATAACTTATGAAATTCTTTTTAAATTAAGTACATTTATTTAATTAAATTATTTAAATTTAATTTTATTTATTTTCTTGAAAATTTTAATTTCTTGAATAAATGAAATAAATATTAAATACATAAAAATTATACTATTTTATTTATTTAATGAAAATTATTGAATTTAAATAAATTAAATATAATTTAATTAATTTAAATAAATCGAATGTAATTTATTTAATTTAAATAAATTAAGTGAAATTCATTTAACTTAAATAAACCGAGTTAAATTGATTTAATTTAAATAAAATTAAACAAATACATATTTAATTAAATTTAATAAATTTTTTTTTATCTTAATCATTAAAAATAATTTACTCATTCGAAAAAATTAATTTTAAGAAATTTATTTAAATGAAATAAATATAACTTATTCAATTTAAATAAATATAATAATTCAAAAAAATATATAATTTATTTAATTAAAGTAAATATCATTTATTTAATTAAAGAAGTTTAATTAAAATAAAATAATTTATTTCAATTAAATAATTAATTTAAATAAAATAATTTATTTAATTTAAATAAAATAATTTATTTAATTTAAATAAAATAATTTATTTAAATTAAATAATGTGCATTTAATATTGAAATAAAAATATAACTAGAAGTTTATGTATTTAAAATAATTAAACAAGACTTATATTATTATTACATTATATTATATTATATTATTACTTACATTATTTATATATTATATATTAGATTACACTATTATATATTATGTTATATATTATATTATATATCATATTATATATATATAAATTTATGAAATAAATAAATCAACTTGATTTTTGTGTCGTTATGTATGGTATGTATAATTTATAATATTATATTATATATTATATTACATTATATTTTATATAATATCTAGTATAATATATTATATTATGTATTATATTATATCTTATTTTTTATTTAATTAGTTTAGTTTAATATTGTATTTCATAAAATAAATAAACATTTAATAAGTAATGAATGTAATATATTGCAAAAATATGTATATATTTATATATGCACATAATTTAGAACAATCGTAACTTCAAAAAATTTAGTCACATTTTTGAAAGTACATTAAAAATTTAAAAAAAAGGTTTTAGATATGAAGTGTATATATTAATTTTTAATATTAAATATATAAAACTTGTTTTCAAATCGAAGTGTTCCTCTTTTCTCACGATATTTTTTTTCAGAGAAACTTAATAGAAAATAAAGTTTAACTGAGGTTTGAGGTGTTTTGCAACGCAAAAGAAAAATGAGAAGATTTATTGGCCATCAACAGAAAACCAGCAATGAAATTGAACATGAATTAACATTTAAATTATATATATATATATATATATATATATTTATTAAAAACACATAAATTATATATAAATTATATTTTTATATATTTAAAAAATTTATTGCTTTATATAAATAAAAGTTTTTAAATAATTTTACAAAATTTTTAGTTTTTAGATTTGACATTTTTGAGTTTATTTTTTTTTTCATTTTTTGTGTATATTAACAATGTACAATAAATAATATTAATATTGCAAACAATTTTAATTTTTTAAGCTTGTATTTTTTATTTTTTCAATATATATCTATATTTATTCGCATTTCAATTCGAAGTTTTAATTTAATTTTTAATTTTAATTAAAATTCATTTTAATTTAATGTTTAATTTAATTTTTTTTTATTATACTTTATTTATTTTGTTTATTAATCTACTTAGTTTAATTTTTATAAATATAAATTTATATAGATTGGAAGGTTGGTGCTTTACTTAATTTTTTTTTTATTTTGTATATATAATTTAATTATATTAAAGCGATTTTATTATTAATTTTTAAAATAATTGTAGTTATAGAGTTATAATTTCATAATTTGATTATACTTGATTTTAAAAGTTTTATTGATGCTTGCTTTAAGTATTGGTGCACTAGTCCCGGTTCTACTCGATTTATCAATTTTTATATATAACTGATATTAAAAAAGTTTTGCCTATAATCACAATTGTCTCTAATCAAATCGATAGAGTTAATAAAACATTATTCAATGCATGTGTTTTATTCCTTTTTATTTATTTTCTTTTAATTTCATTTTTTGTTTTTTTTAAATATTTATATATATGTATTAAATTTTCTAATTCTTGTTATTACATTTTTAAGTATTTATGAAGTGATATATTTGTGCAATTGATTATATTAAAAATTATTTTATTTAGATAATTCAGATATGAAATTATACAACATTTTTTATTTAATTTTAGTATTATTTCTTTATATATAATATGTATGTATAATATTTTATTTTAATAATTGGACTATAGTATTCAGTTATTTTTATTGCATGTGGATAAGATATACCTTCATTTATGTAATTGATAGAACTAGGTATAATAACTTCTGGGCGATAAATTCCGATAAATTCCGGTCACTAGTCTGGGTAATTTTATTTGGCAATATACTGAGAGCATTGTAATCATGAAAATGGTTATGGGGCCATGACGGTGACATTGCTTCAGTTAGTAGGTGTCTGCAGTCTTAGATACGAAAATTAAATAATCATATAATTATCGAAAATATTTTATGATTTCTTAAATTTTATGAAAATATTTATGCATTTTTTTGTTTTTTATTTATTTTTTTTATTAGTTTATATATAAATTTTAATTATCTGTATATATTATTAATATTCTATAAAAATTTCATTAAGTTTATAAAATATATTTTTAATTATTTTTTTCTCCATTCTTTTATTAATTTATATTGTTTTATTCTATTTATTTTAATCTACAGTTAAAAATGTGTGTATTTCTTAAATATAATATATATAAATTATTAGTAAAGTATTTAATTTAAAAATATAATAACTCTCTATTGATGGCAATATATTCATTTGACGGAATTTATATATACAAGTTTCCGGTAATAACTGACAAAACAAACTGAATTTAAATATTACATGTCTTCCTAATTGAAAATGATCGACCATTCCATAATTGGCTAGTACTACAACTTATAATGACAGGGTCTATGAACCGCATACATTTCTAATAGAACACATTTATTATTATTACATTTTTAAAGTATTTCAGTAAACTGGTTAAATACCATTAACTGTTGGTTCTTTTAAAAAAACGGGGTTTGTTTAGTCCTTACACCAGCAGTTAGTTTCAGATACAATTTGTAAAGCCACATTGATTCCGTTCGTGCTAGGGTTCGAATATATTTACAGTTTTGGATATTCTTGTTTAAAACCGGCTCGATACATATTGTAAGTTAAATAAAATTAATAAAATATTTTTATATATGTAATTATAGAACTGCCATATGCTGGATATTTTTTATATTAAGCAGTATTGTTTCTTTATGGCTTTTTAGAGTTTTTATTATTTTGCATAAATAGAGAACTGTCGAATTATACATAGGTTAGGAGATAAATGGGTAATGGTTGGGAGGAGTTTAGGCGGTGGAAGGAAAGGATTTATTAAGCATTTGTGATGGATTGGAGATGTGTGGGGTAAAGTCACAGTCGATTGGTTCTTTTAAAATTAAAATCCCAAGTGAGCAAATCATAGCCCTGCTATTACTTACTTTTATCAGATACCTTACAGATCTTCCTAGCATAGAATACGTTAAAAAAATACGTAGCATAAATTTCCAATACAAGTTCGTAGAGATTCTATTCGTTTCAAAATTAATTATATAGAAACAGGTAATTTGGAACATTATAGAATATAAGCTTACCATGTATATAAAAGTATATTAAATATAAGTATATTAATTAATATTATTACTAAGCTCATAATGTATTATTTAAAAACCATGCTGCCTTCGAAAATTATTTTTAAGACATTAAATCAAATATTTTAAACCAACATTTACAATAACATTAAAGAAAATCAAGAATTTTTTAATTATAATATATAATAATAGTATAATATATATTAATCAACATAATGATATGTGCACAATAGATCAAACTGGTCGCAGTGTAGAAAGGCCTTTGCCTAATCCATAAACCATCACATTACATCACAACATAATGATAATACATTATAAATAATATAATATATTATAATACACAGTAATAAATCTAATTATAATATAAATTAATTAACATAATGATAATACATTATAAATAATATAATTATAATATGTTATAGTTCATATAATAATAAAACACAATAATAAATATAACTGTAACATATATTAATTGACATTATTATAATAAATTATAAATAATATAATTAAAATACGTTATAGTTAATATAATTATAATACAAAATGATTGAACTCAAAACAATTAATTTATATAGATATATACTGTAAAATATATAGACTTTTCTATCAAAAGCCATATCTACTATTTGAGTTTAGGTTACTTACTAATTAAATTTATAATGTTAACTGTTAGAGTAACTAGCAATTATACTTATTAAATAAGTGCATATATGTGCCAATACTTCATTTTGTAAATAAATTATAGAGATTGTTTTTATATAGTAACAGATTTTATTATTCATTTTTGTAAAACAAATTCAATGCAATTTTTAAATGCTATTTTTTACAAGTTTTCTAACATTTTATAAAGACTTTATTTCAATTAACTTAGACTTTAATACTAAAATTACGTTTTTTGTTGTTTTTAATACACATACTTGTAAGGAAAGTAAAGAAAAATTATGTGTAAACTATTATAAAAGACAGAAATCTTTTTAATTAAAAAGGTATATATATTCAAGTATATTAAATATACAATAAATATAATATGTATATCTTTTTTAATATTTAGTTTACAACAACAAAAAAAACAAAGAAAAAATTTTAAAATCGGACAGTATGTTTGATTGTTTCTAATTTACAAGTCATACAACAAGTACAATGTGCGCTACATATTTTCGCATAAAATTTAATATATTGCTATGCAGTGATAATTAAATTTTATTTAAAATGGGTGTAATTTTTCAATCCCAGAGGATTGTGTTTACTTGGTAACTTCATGCATTGCCTGTGCTAAATACCCAACATTTTTGCTGGTAACGCCAGCCATTGAAATGCGTCCATCCTTCGTCAAGTAAATACTAAACTCTTTCGATAGGCGTGCAACATGATCGGCAGTCATGCCAGTGTAACAGAACATACCAATTTGGTTGGTGATATGATCCCATGAGCGTGAAGAGCCCAAATCAATTAAATTCTGTTTAAGTTGTGCACGTACGTTAATAATACGCTCAGCCATACATTTGACATCCTTCAACCAAATGCTATGCAAGTCTTTATCATTCAAAATTTCTGCTACGATACGTGCTCCATGTACTGGTGGATTGGAATACAATGCACGAATCAAAATTTTTATTTGAGAAATAACACGATCTGCTTCCTCTTTACTAGCGCAAATGACTGAATAGACTCCAGCACGTTCACCGTAGAGACCCATATTCTTGGCAAAGCTTTGAGATAAGCAATATTGATGGCCATCAGCTTCAAAAATGCGTATTGCCTGTGCGTCATGATCAACATCACCGGAAGCGAAACCTTGATAAGCCATATCGAAGTAAGGATAAAGATTTTTCTTCTTTATCACTTGTGATAATTCGCGCCATTGCTCTTTGGTTGGATCAACACCAGTGGGATTATGTGCGCAGGCATGCAAAAGTACTATTGAATTTTCAGGTATTTTCTGTAAAAATTTTATTTATTAATACAATGGAATTATTTATTAATATAAAATTTCAGGAATATAAAAAATATATTTACAGAGATATCTTCCAAACAGCCTTTGAAGTCCAAACCACAAGTTTTGGAATCGTAGTAACGATATTTTTTGACAGTTAGGCCGGAATGTTCAAAAATGGGTGTATGATTACCCCATGTTGGTGTAGGTACATAGACTTCACGATTGCCTTCCCAGAATTTGCTAAGAAAAGCAGCGCCAACACGTAGAGCTCCTGTACCACTAATAGCCTGCTTATTGAAAAAAATTGTATTAATATTCAATGCATATTATGTATTTTTCTGTAGTAACATATATAACATAAGTAGATATGTATAGTATATAACATAAGTAGATATGTATAGTATATAAAATAAATAGATACTACGACAAATGTAGATGCCAAATTAAACTAAACCTACTTGTGTCGTTGCATTGTGTTTCTCCTTTAAGCGTTGTGAGTCTTTTCCCAAAGCCAGTTCGATGGCTTTATTATAAAAATCGGGGATGCCAATGATGGTTGCGTATTCTTTATCCAACTTCTTGTTTAAAATGCGTTCTTCAGCCTGAATTTTATAATAAAGAAAAATTAATAAATTGAAGAAAATTTAAAAGTTACGGAAAGTCACTTTTCTAAGGTAAAACTTTTTAAGTGCTTTATTCTATAATATTTTTTCATTGCATTAATATAGTATATATTGTAGATAGCAGTGTAAGCACGTCACGCAAAGGACAAGCGAACTATAAGATCTATTAACTTGATTGTTAATATGGATATATCAGAATATAGTACGTAGCCTGGTTCCAGGCTGATTAAAAGAATCTGACCACCTCAGTTAGGTCATAAATCAAAAGGGCTTAAAGTATTGTGTACGTTTGGACATGACAACATACAGGTGACGTCATGAGAAGTTGATCTACATTTGAGGCACACATAACATTGTCTAATAAATAATTAAGTACATGGGTATATCCAGACTTCAGTCAGGCTGGGATAGTTCTTGCTGTACGTAAAATGCTGCCTTCATCTCGAGAGATTATAAACAGATGCGAATTAAAAACTTCATTATGGTACAATAGTGGGTTAAGTTAGGTTATATCGGCGATTTTAAAGATTCATCTAGGCCTATTCACCTATTACTACTGTATAAGAACTCGGAAGTTTAAAAACCGCCTTGAAAAGGTTTGATAAAGACTAAAATGCTGTTTAAAGAAGGGTCCTCAAGCTGGTTGAGGTCGGTGAAAAAGTAAGCCCTCAGCATAGTCAATCCAAGTTGCGTATCCGATGGGCAGTAATAAAACAGAAGATTTAATTTTCAGGTATGGTTCCCTAAACTATAATTTTAGTTTCGAAGTATATATTGGCTCGGTAATTTTTTTTCAATAAAATTTTTTTAAATTTTATATTAGTTATTAAAAATAGACGATGGAAAAATAGTTCTTCATCATGTATATTACATATATTTATATATAGGAGACTATTGAAGAAAGTTCTTTCTTTTAGCTTTTATAAAATAAAGTCAATTTGAGTTTCATTTAAAAAAAGTGTAAATATAATTTACTTACTTTGCGTACACTGGGTAGTACCCATGGTTTACCATCATCATCACGATAGGCTCCAACACCTAAGTTGATTTTTTTTGGATTAGTGTCACGTTTAAAAGCTTCTGTTACACCTAAAATAGCATCAGGTGGTCCCATCTGTACACCAGCGAACCATGATCTAGAATATCAAAATAATAATTATTCATGAAAATAAGAATAACATATATAAACAAATATATAATTTTATTTAAATTCTAACGTTCTTTAATACATCTATCTACAGTGTTCATGTTCGGTGATTGAGCATAGTATAAATTATATGACATCCTCTGATAGACATCGAACTAAAACCTCTTGGGGAAAGTTAAACGTAAGTACTTAAGGTTCACTTATATCGAAAATATTTATTCAAGCTTAATTTGGTGTTATATTCTAAAATTAGATTAACAGATTATAGGTATAGGACTTGACTTTGATTTTGTGAATATCGTTTCAGGTGGAATGATTAGCTGAATAAACTGGCTACGGTAAGTAGGATATGTTATAAGTATGCAAATAATTCTATTAGCAAAAATAGTATAAGAGTAAATCCATTTTTGCATGGAACGAACAAGTACTGGGTAACTTGTCGCAGCTTGATGTTTCTAATTAGCGTCAGCTTTCAAAAGAATAAGCGATGATGGAGAATATATACTTTCGTTATTTCAGCTTTTTAATTATTTAGTTTATTTAATATTAAAGAAAATAACTTGAAGACTGAGAGTAGTATTAGGCTTTTAAATGATCTATTTGACGTACAAAGTCATTGTTTTTATGTTGGGTTTTTTATGAGTCTTCTTTAGACTCATCTTAAGAATGTCGTTTGTGTTCGAAAGAATATAATACTGCTAGTTAGACTTTTTAACTTTGCAAGAATTTTCTAAAGTAATGATGATATAATTGATTTGAAAGAATTTATAATTTTCTTAAAACTGCAAATAAGTATTATATATAGAGATCAAGATTTTTGACTCAAAATACTTCTTCTTAAACAAATAAGACTGCGATTATAACAAACGGAACCAAGTTCGGCTTAAACTTGTAACTGTGAAGTTCGATATTGGACAACAGTAGCTGACCATTGAATTAATACGTTAATGGACGTTTTAAATGTTAAACGTATATTATATTTAGAAGATATATTTTACTGATAATATAACAATTGAGAAAATGTGAAGGACAGCTGCTATTAATTCCAGAGAGAGAGCAAAAGCCCTAATGATATGACAGGACCCCAATGACAGGATGGCAGGATTTTAATGAAAGAAACTAATCGAGATAACTTCAGTCTTCATAAGAAGACTTTAATGAACAAAAACACTGGAAATAAAAAAAATTGGAGACTGAAGGAGATATTTTGAAGTTCTTGATAAAAAATTTTGAGCTAGTTTCCTTGTTGTGCTGAAAATTCAGGTTAAAGAGCAGCCGAGTTTTCGTCCTGGAGTTCCTAATCGTTCAGGCGGGTAAATTTTCTTCATCCCTCCCAAATTTAGATTGAAAAAGGAGAGTGTTTATGTAGGTATCCTAGTAACTTTTTTGCTATGAACCAGATTAGCTATTTTGTATTAATAATTTTATTAATAAATTTTCAATTTAATTTAGTAGACGTTATATACCATAAGAATAGTTAATAATTTCACCTATTATTTTATAACCTTTATACTACCCCTGAAAAACTTCATATCATCATTACGAGCAAGAATCATAAAAAAGTGCAATAATTTTATCTGTGGATTGATGAATGAACTTAGAACTTTATTCATAACTGAAGTAAGAGAGAATCGCTCACGTTTCTATAACGTGAATACCGTGAACAGATAAGGTTTATTTAATAATTTTTTCACGAAGTGTGAATAAATACTTCCTAATTTATTACTTTTTTTTTTTTGCTTTCGATAAGATTCAAATTGAAAAAAAAAAAGATAAATCAAACAATTTTGGAAAAAGCATAGCAGGGCACTAATGTCGATAATTATAAGTTAATAAACAAAATCTATTGACCAATAGACTTTATTATAATTATAATTATCAGTTAATAAATTTACATTCTCAATCACTGAAATTAGATTGCAATTCCTTTTATGATTTATATAGAGTTTTGGGTAATTTGTCTAATCAAAGTGTACTTAAGTTATTTCATATTTCTCAGTACAAACCTAATTTCATCTCTAATCGAACTTTGGATTCGGTAGTCACTATAATTTTTTTCTATTATTATCTTAATAATAAGTGATTAAAATATTGGTGATTAAGTTATCAAAAAATAGTAAATTAATGATGAATAATAATATTAATTAATATTTTTGGGAAATGTGGAATTAATAGAATGATGAAATTTTCAATTTAAGTATAGAGGACATATTCAATATATTAGAACTATATTAGTCATACTTTGTGGCAGCATATAAGTTAGCATAGAATATAATATTGAAGAATGTTTATTTTATTTATGTGTCCCAGAATTATATTGATTTAAATAATAAACAATGAGTTTTATTTGGACAATATATGATGTTACTTCAGATACTTAATATAAAAAGTTTTAAGAACTTAACAAAGAAGACAAACTTGCGAGAAGACGCGCCACATCAAGAATGATAGCCCCAGAACCATTCTGTGGTCTAGGCAAAGGAGCTCTATCCATTATTATGAATGACGCAGAGAAAAAAGAGAGAGAACTCTATTGGGTAATGCTACCAAGACTCTCACAATCTAAAATGCTTTTAGGGACTTACAACCTAAAACGCTTTAAAGATTGTATAGTACAATTAAAAACTAACAAGAATTATTACGAGATTACTGACCGGTCACTGCAGATTGAATAATCACCTATCGAAGTCAGGAATTCAATCCAACTCAGACTGCAGATACTGTAGGGAAGAGAGAGAAACGGCATACCATGTGCTTAAGCCCGGCACTGATGCATAAGCGAAAAAAAACACCTAGGAGGGTATTTCATGGATCATAAGGATTCAAGACTGGGGAAGATAGGATCCATACTGTCTTTCATTAAAGAAATCGGACTTGGAAAATACTCTAACCCGACAAAGGGGCACAATAGATCTTTTAGGTCGCAGTGCACGATCCCTTACTCAATAATAATAATAACAAAGAAGAACTCAAGAATTATAACAGTTATCCTATCCGGACAATGTAGGATGAATCATCACTTAAGAATTAAAGCAGACTTGAATTTCATTTAAAAGATATAGTATCAGAAATAACTTATATTGAGTTATTAATGGACCTAATGGAAATTGTCTCTAATGGAATCTATAGGTTGTGCAAACCACGAAAGGTACCTTCTAGAATGAGAAGGTAAGCTCATTCTACGTAGGAACTCCACATATATTTATAAAAGAAAGAAACAACTTCAGTTATATATAACATCTAATGATAAACTTAGACTAATTTACAAGACAATACTAATACGAAAATTTGGAAAGTTGAATTTTTGCAATATTCTAATTTAATACATTACATCTATGAATATTTATATATTGTTTTTATATTATAACTATTCATTCAAATTTGTATTACTTTTATATAAATTTATTAAATGATATATATTCGGAATTAGTTAGGATGTAATAATGATTAACAATTGTTTATATTTAAAAATTGTGATATATTTTTATGTTGCAGACATTGAATATATAATAGGTTTTTGGTGTCTTAAGTAATCGATTATAGGTGTCAAAACCATTAGTCATAGATGAGTGAGTATCATTTTTCATTTTTGTTAGAATTTAATAGATTATTCGGAAAGAGAACTAAAGTGGCTTTAACAACCATAATAGGATTATCTGGGCTACAACAACATTAAAGTTTTATCTAAAATCTATATATCTGGGATTTTATATCATTCTAGTTGTATAATATGATATACATTGTGACCGAAAAGTTTCCGGAAATAAATAAATAAAACGCAAAATTCTTAATCTTCATAAATTTTATCACCTCTTCAAAATGCTCCATGAGAAGCGATACACAATGCCAACGTTTCTCCCATATCAAAACATTTTTTATAGGCGCTTTCCGGTATGGCTTTGAGTTCCCTCTGCGAATTCTGTTTTACGTCTTCTATGGATTCAAAACGCGTTCCTCTGAGTGGTAATTTGAGGTTGGGAAACAGGAAAAAGTCACACGGTGCAAGATCAGGTGAATACGGTGGCTGTTCGATGGTATTTATTGAATGTTTGGCCTTAAAATCGTTGATAATGTTGAACAAATTGAGGTGAATCGGAACAAGCCGGGCGTTGACACGTCGCATACACAAATTGTCCACCAAAATCAAACGAGCCATCTCACGACCGATGCCTAGCTCTCGTGCTATCTCTCTAACACTCACATGAGGATTTTGGAACACGATTTCCTTTGCCTTTTCAATGTTTTCGTCGGTGGTAGAGGTCGAAGGTCGTCCAGAACGCGGCATGTCTTCGACGGTCGTACGACCGTCCTGAAAGGCTTTGTACCACTCATAAACTTGAGTTTTCGATAAAACTGATTCCCCATAAGCCTTTTGTAGCATTCGCAACGATTCTGCACACGAAATTTCGTTCGAAAAACAAAATTTGATGCAAACTCTTTGTTCAATATTTTTTTCCATTGTTTTTTTCGCAACGCACTACTGAGGTGAACTGGTTTCAACAGCTGCCGTAAACGAACTGTCTGACAGATCGCGCTCATTTTTGGCATAGTAATTAAGGAACAGTGCTGCCAAACTACATAAACTTAAAATATCGAAAAATATACAGCGCGCGAATTTTAAATGAGAATTTCCGAAAGCTTTTCGGTCACAATGTATAGTGTATAGTCTTTTTTAAGTTATAGTCGTAATAGCCCAATTATAGTATTTAGGATGAAGATGACAAGGGAACCTAAAAAATAGATTGCTCTATTAAGTGATTAAGTGTCCATTTAACAAATAATACATTATAAGATCACTTGATATTGTTTTTAATTTTTTAATTTATATTATTATAATATAAGTACATGGTATTCAATGTTTAAAAAATGGTTTAATTTCGGGTACCGAACTAAGAGGTGACCTTGATCTAAGAAACCATACAGATCGCATTTAGAAGGTGAGGTGTATTTTTCGTTGTTTTTCGAAAATACAGTATCAAAGAAAGGTTT